GGGATCCTACCTCCACCGAATTGAGGCCATCTTCGGTATTACGGATTGAGGCTATCTCCGTCATAGGAAATAAATGTTAAGTGGTTTGACTTTGGTGAAAGTCTAAATTGGTTTGACCGGTGGTCAAAGAGTTCATGAGAAAACCGTAACACCTAAATCGTTTTGAAAAGAAAGAAAATAAGTTGACTGTTGGTCAACCGTCTAAAGAACCGAATGTAAAGTTGAATTGATTTTTATTAAAAGGATAAACATATGTACGATCTTAATTGTTGAATTATTATGTTTATTCTTGTGCTACAATGGAGTACCACTCAGCGTCAATGCTGAGCGGATAGCGTTGTTTTCTTTTGCTGTCCGTAGGTGATCAGACAGATGAACCTAGAGCCGATCCCAGAGGGCATTGAGGAGGAGATGTACGATGGCGTGGCTGTCTCTTTAATCTATTGATTATGCTTTATTTAATTAACTTTAATGCTTATTACGTTTTCGGGCAAGATCCCAAGTTGTTTGACTTTAAAAAGGCTTCCGCATTATTTTAAATTACTCCGATGGAATTTTTATATGTATTGATAGAACGTTTGTTTAAAATTGTTTTGAAAATGTCGCAAATTCGGATACCAATTCAGTAGCACACCGGTCCGCTGTCTCACGGGTTTGGGTCATGCGGGTTGGGGTGTTACAAACAGGATTATCAGCAGTTCCTACTTTCTTCACCTGGATTTTCCTCTCACTCCTCACGAAATGATACCTCACGTCAATATGTTTGGTTCTCTCATGATGCACTTGATCCTTGGCTAGACAAATCGCGCTCAAGCTGTCACAATACACTGTGGCCTTATCATGATGCAGACCAAGATCACTAACCAGCCCTTTCAACCAAATTCCCTCCTTTGCAGCTTATGTCAAGGCCATGTACTCTGCTTCCGTAGTTGACAAAGTCACTATAGGTTGCAAAGTTGCCTTCGAGCTAACAACAGAGCCTCCAAGAGTAAACACATAGCCAGTCATCGATCTCCTCGTGTCAACATCTCCAGCATAGTCTGAATCAAAAAAACCTGTAACCGAACACTGAGTATCTCCTCCATAAATGAGACCAACGTCAGATGTACCCCTAAGGTACCAGAAAATCCTCTTCACAGCCTGCAAGTGTTCTCTCTCTGGTTGTCCCATGAATCTGCTAACTACACTCACTGTATATGCTAAATCTGGCCTTGTACAGACCATAGCATACATCAAACTTCCCACAGCACTGGCATAAGGGACTCATGACATATACTCCTTCTCTTCTTCTGATTGTGAAGCGAACATGGCAGTGAGATGGATATTGGCAGCACTGGGGGTGTTAATAGGCTTAGATGAAGACATGTCAAACCTCGTCAAGAACTTCTGAATGTAACCTCTTTGTGACAAGAAAAGTTTCCTTTTCTCTCTGTCTCTAATGATCTCCATCCTTAAAATCTTCCGAGCGGCTCCTAAATCCTTCATCTCAAACTCAGCACTAATCAAACCCTTTAGCTTCTGGACGTCATACTTCTGCTTTGCAGCTATCAACATATCATCTACATAAAGCACCAGGTAGATGAATGAATCATCTTTGAGCCTGTTGTAGTAGACACAACAATCATATGAGCTCCGAGTGTAACCCAACTTTGCCATATAGCTGTCAAATCTTTTGTACCACTGCCTTGGGGACTGCTTAAGTCCGTATATCAACTTGCAAACGTGACTTTCCTTCACTGGAACTTGGAAACCATCCGGCTGAGTAATGTATATATCTTCCTCCAACTCTCCATGTAGAAAAGTTGTCTTCACATCAAGTTGTTCGAGCTCCAGATTTTGATGTGCAACTATCACTAGTAGCACGCGGATGGAAGTGTGTCTGACCACAGGTGAGAAGATCTCATTGTAGTCCACTCCCTCTCTTTGGTTGAAACCTCTCGCAACGACCCTGGCTTTATACTTGACCCCTTTTGCTGGTGATATCCCTTCCTTCTTCTTGAAAACCCATTTGCAAGTAATAATCTTTCTCCCCGGAGGCTGTATGACAAGATCCCATGTTTGATTCTTGGGAGAAAGACCAAACTAGGACTAAAACATTGAAAATATACCAAAATAGGACTTCCATGTTTTTATTCCCGAAATAGGACTTACATTACCAAACATGGTCATATACATTACTAAAAAAGTATAGTAATTTGCACATGTACACTGCCACATTACCACAATGCAAAGTCACATTACAGTGCAAAGTCCTATTCCGGGAAAAAAAACATGAAAGTCCTATTTTGATACTTTTCTCTATGTTTTAGTCCTATTTAGGATGATTTCTATTGATTCTTATGCAAAGACTCCATCTCATCTCCCATCGCGGCTAACCATTTTTCAGAATCAGGACTTAAAACAGCTTCTCTGTAAGTCGATGGTTCAGAAGTATCGACCTCTTCAGCAACCTGCAGTGCATAACCCACCATGTCCTCAAAACCATATCTCGTAGGTGGCCTAATTCCAACCCTTCTTGGTCGATCTTGAGCTATACTACGATGGGTATCTGATGGCATAAACTCTTGAAAATCAGTTTCTGACTGTGGTTCTTGATTCTCCTCTTCAGGTTCTTTCATATAACTCTCGTTCTGAATGACTTGAAGCTCCACCTGTTTATCAAGACTATCAATTTCTGTCGTAGTTGTAGGCTTCACAATGGTTCTAAATAGAGAACTTTCATCAAAGACAACGTTTCTGCTCAGAATAACTCTCTTTTCTGCCAGAGACCAAATTCTAAAACCTTTTACTTCATCTCCGTAGCCCACAAATACTCCCTTTTTAGCTCGTGGTTTTAGCTTACCTTCACTGACATGATAGTAAGTTGTACAGCCAAAAGCTCTCAGGTTTGAATAATCTACAGCTTTTCCTGTCTTGCACTGAATGCCTATATGTGGTCCGCGGTTAGTCAGGTAGCAAGCTGTACTAACCGCTTCTGCCCAGAACCTTCTGTCTAGCCCAGCATTAGAGAGCATGCACCTTGCTCTCTCCAGAAGTGTTTGATTCATCCGCTCAGCTACACCGTTCTGTTGTGGTGTATTTCTGACTGTACGATGTCGAGCAATCCCTTCATCCTTACCAAATTGATCAAATTCAGACCAACACAATTCCAGCCCATTATCAGTTCGCAACCTCTTGATCTTCTTCCCTGTTTGATTTTCCATCAATGTTTTCCACTCCTTAAACTTTTGGAGAGCTTAACTTTTATGCTTCATCATGTACACCCAAGTAAAAATCATCAATAATTGACACAAAAAATCTGCATCCTCCCAAAGACTCAACTCGGCATGGACCCCAGCAATCAGAATGGATGTAATCAAGTGTGCCTTTTGTTCTATGAATGGCCTTTGGAAACTTGTTACGATGTAATTTTCCAAAAACACAATGTTCACAGAACTCTAGGCTCTTTACCTTATGTCCAGCAAGAAGATCCTCTTTTGATAGAATTTGCATCCCTTTTTCACCCATATGACCAAGTCTCATGTGCCACAACTTGGTCATATCTTCCTGTTTAACTTCTGATGATGCAATATGGACTAAAACTATAACCGTGGAACCTTGTAGAAAATACAAAGTACCCCGCATGAAACCTTTCAAAATCAGATTTGAACCCTTCCAGACGCGCAAAACTCCATCTTTTCCTGACCAACTGAACCCTTTGCTGTCCAAAAGACTGAGAGATATCAGATTCTTTGTCATCAATGGTACGTGCCTGACCTCGTTCAATGTGCAGAAGCTACCATCATGTGTCCTTATCTTGATCGAGCCTGTCCCAACCACCTTGCAGATAGAACTGTTGGCCATCGAGATGCTCCCTCCGTCTACCTGCTTATAGGTCGTGAACCACTCTCTCCTTGGACAAATATGGTAGGATGCCCCAGAATCTAGAACTCACACAACTGAGTGATGAGTGCTTTCATCAGCAATTAAGGCAATGTCTTATTCAGAATTGGTGTCTTCTTCAGCAACAGCACCAGAAACTGGTTGTTTTTCGGATTGCTTCTTCTTCTTCGGACAATCAAACTTCCAATGCCCCTTCTCCTTGCAGTAATTACAGACATCATCCGGCTTTGCACCCTTTTACGATGACTTTCTCTCCTTCTTCTTTCCACCGTATTTCTTTCCCTTTCCAGTACTGGTGAATAGGCCAGAAGGTTGTACATCTATACTTGTGTCGTTAGCCTTATGCCGCAATTCCCTGCTATGAAGGGTCAATCTGACTTCTTCCAGAGACACAGTATCTTTACAAACAATGAATGATTGAACAAAATTCTCAAACGATATTAGGAGAGATACCAACAGAATCAGGGCAGCATCTTCATCCTCGATCTTCACATCGATATTACGCAATTCTAATAACAAAGTATTTAATTTCTCTAAATGTTCCGTGAGTAGTGTACCTTCAGCCATTCGTAAACCGAATAGACGTTGTTTCAGAAGTAACTTATTGGTTAAAGATTTCGTCATGTACATACTCTCCAACTTTAACCACAAGCCAGCAGTAGTCTCCTCGTCTGAGACCTCCGTGATAACGTCATCTGACAGACACAGCATGAGCGTCGAGTGCGCCTTCTCTTCCAGAGTCGCCATCTCAGGAGTAGCGACGGCGTTTTTGTCTTTCGACAACGGTGCCCTGAAGCCTTGTTGTTTCAACAAAGCCCGCATCTTGATCTGCCATAAACTGAAACTGTTCCTCCCTGTGAATTTGTCGATTTTAACGTTCAAAGCAGACATCTCGAAATTCTCCAAGAACACCGATTAACCTAGAGGCTCCGATACCAGTTTGTTATGCGGAATTCGAGAATGAAAAATATAAACGAGAAAAAAAAACAGGACAACAGATTTAACGTGGTTCACCAATGTTGTGTTGGCTAGTCCACAGAGAAGAGGGGGAGCATTTTTATTTCGGATGGAGAGGCAAAAACAGAATACAAACATAGGGTTGGACATGGTACCGGTACGGTACCGTTACCTGCAACGGTACCGCCGGTACCACCAACCGTCATCGTCGAATGGTACGTATCTCCAGTGTGGGGAACCGGTACCAGAACCGCCCCAACCGGTACCGGTTCCCAAATTTTCGTCCCGGAACCGCTAGTACCGGTACGGTACCGGTACTGTGAATAGGTTTTTTTTGCCTGCACGCCTGCAACTTGTCCGGCGCTCCGGCCCACCACTTGCAAAAAAAGCCAACAATTGATTAAAGGGGGGAGGGGGACTCCAACGGGAAGAAGAACAAGTGGGGGCTGCCAGTCTGCCACTCCTGCAAAAGAAATAAATTAAATGGGTTAAGGGGGAGGGACCCCTCAAACGGCTATTTAGCCGTTGAGGGGAAGGGGAAGGGGAGGGGAAGGTGATGGGGGGGTTTCTACTATAACTCTTTTTGAGGATTTGTTTAAGGAATATTAAGGGTTATACGGTATTGTACCAGAAGAAACAACACCTCCTCCACCCCCAAATCAAAAAAAGGTTTTAAAGGAATAGTCGGTGAGCTTCTTGCAAAGAAAGGGAAGCGTGCTCAGCCTTCGACGAGTTCAAGTGGTACAATAGTAAGCTCACACAACAAACTTGCTATGTACCAAGGGGTGCCATGCGATTACGACGAGGACGACGTGGAGTTTGACGTCCTCGGATGGTGGAAGTGGAACGAACACATGTTCCCATGTCTTGGAAAGCTAGCAAGACAAGTGTTGTCCGTCCCGGTATCAACCGTAGCAGTGGAACGAGAATTCAATGCTGGCGGGAACATTCTAACCGACTTTCGAAGTTGTCTTAATGCTGAATCTCTTGAAACACTTGTTTGCAACCAAGATTGGCTCTTGGCAAGACGTCGAGCTCAAGAGTCAGGGTACGAATTCAATTCAGAGCATTACATGAATGCAACCACAGATGGAAGTCCGAGTTCTGAGGAATCAGTTATAAACTTTTTTTATGTTAATTTAAATATGTAATTAGTTTTTTTAGGTGAGCGGTATATAAGCTCCTTCGAGGGTTTCTTTACGGTTCTTTACCTCGTCGCTTTTTTTGAACCGTCAGGATATTAATTGTAGTTGTTATTCAGTTCGTGTATTACTCATTTTACAATATTTAAATAACAACTACATTTTTAGATTTTTTATTTCAATCTTTCCTTTAACAATTGCAAATTTACAATTTTACACTTTAAAAATTCTAAAAAAAAGCAAAAAAAAATTGGGAGTGGCCGAAACCGGCTGGTCCGGTATCGGAACCGCCGGTCCGGGTACCAGAACCGGTACCGCCCGGTCCGGTCATGGTACCGGTACCTAGGGGTGGCCGAAACCGGCTGGTCCGGTACCGGAATCGTACCGTGTCCACCCCTACGTCTGAGACCTCCGTGATAACGTCATCTGACAGACACAGCATGATCGTCGAGTGCGCCTTCTCTTCCAGAGTCGCCATCTCAGGAGTAGCGATGACGTTTTTGTCTTTCGACAACGGCGCCCAGAAGCCTTGTTGTTTCAACAAAGCTCGCATCTTGATCTGCCATAAACTGAAACTGTTCCTCCCTGTGAATTTGTAGATTTTCACGTTCAAAGCAGGCATCTCGAAATTCTCCAAGAACACCGATTAACCTGGAGGCTCTGATACCAGTTTGTTATGCGGAATTCGAGAATGAAAAATATAAATGAGAAAAAAAACACGACAACAGATTTAACGTGGTTAACCAACGTTGTGTTGGCTAGTCCACGGGGAAGAGGGGGAGCATTTTTATTTCGGATGGAGAGGCAAAAACAGAATACAACATAAGGTTTGTAGTAACACCCATATAAATAGTGTTTGGCTAAAACCGTAACAGACTTGGGCCCCAAACTACAGAATTAACAGATAATTAGAAGCCCAAATAGAAAAGGATTCGATCATCTCAGGATTTGGATCTCTCGAGATTCGGATTTCTCGACTTCTCCGGAATTCAGATTTGTCGGAAGTCGGACTTCTCCGGATCCGGAGCTGCAACGGGTCAGATTCAAGGCATTACAACAGCTTAGCTAGTATATTTGACAGGCTAGATGTGCTGGTGGTTGGTTAAAATATTTGATAAAATTAACTGTTTGAATATATATCTCTGTGTGTGTAGAATATTTTTTTTTACATTTTTGCACATGTACAAATTAAATCTTTCATAAATGGATTATTAAATTTCACTTTCATATATTTTCTCCGTCCCTAAAAACCTATATCCTTTCTTTTTTCATTCTTCCCAAATTTTTTCTTAATTCTATTAAAAAATCACTTTTACCCTTTTTAATTTCTAACATACCTATCACATTACATCTATTCATTATTAATATATTAACAAAATCTTACTTTAACTATCACATCCAGGGATATTTTTGAAAAACTCAACACCAAAATAGACTCCTTAAATCCCATGAAAACAAAATCTCCCATGTTTTCAGGGACAGTTGGAGTAATTCATAAGAAATTAATAATATATAACTTTTTAATGATTTTTATTTTTGATTTTATCATTTCATTTATTTTGTTTTTAAAATTTAAAATTTTTATTTTTATTTTTTTTACTTTTAAATTTGTTTAACTTTTATTTTTTTTACATATATTATTGAATATCTTTCAAGAAAAATGATAAAAAAATTAATTCTCCTAACAGCTAAGGCTAAAAGCTACTCCCCTTGGCTTTTAATATTTTGGCTTTTCGGACCAAATTAAACAACCAAATGAAAAAGTCATTAGCCAAACAATGATTTTGATAGTTCGATTAGTCAAAAAAACTAAAGTCAGTCAAAGAGACCAAACGTCATCCGAAAAGCTATTTTTCAAACACAACCATATGTCCATATCTTTGTCTTAACTTAATGATTTGTTATTATCAAATGCTTCGTAATAGTGGACACTGTAGATTGTGAGGATTTGTACTAGGACCGTGCTACAGTGCACCCACCCATGCCTCCTTTGCTGCCTCCCTATTTAAGGTTTTTTTACCTTTTCTTCTTCTTTTTTTCTCCTTTCCTCTATGTTGTTCTGGATCTGCTCTTCCGCGGCAGCGACCCGCTCTCTTCTCCCTTTCATGCGCTCTCCTTCTTACAAGCCGGCAGGTAATCTCTTCTTTTTCTTATCTTCCTCTTCATATCTCTGATGCGCCAACCCCTGTAGCACGACAATTCCTCTGTCAATCTCTTCTCTTCATTCCATTTTTAGTCAATTTCTATGGCAATAATTTTTTGAATTTTTGTAGAGTACATAGGGTATTTGGTGATTATGGACTTACAAACATCTATTGTTACACATGTTGAGAATGAATGAGCAACCACATGATTTTGGTGGTGAAGAAGAAGACCTGGTTTTATATGAGTTGCAGCCCAGTTGTAAGTGTTGATATTTAGACCCCATTCTATATTCATTTGAAGTAGTGAAAAAAACTGTTTTGTTTTTTTGTTACAGAGATTAAAGTTCTGTGAATCTAGGGTTTGTCCTTGTCACAGACGCTAATTATCTGTATGAACTCTGTATTTGGTGTATTATTGTTTTCTTCATAGTCAGGTATTTTATTATATTAAAGGTACTGTTTTTTGCAGCTTTTGAACCAGATTTTTTTCTAAATGATCCTTGCTTTCAGTATTTATTTAACGACGAAGGGCAAGAACAGGCGAGTGGTGAGATCAGACAAAACACAGATGACATTAACAATGATGTCCAAAACAATGGTCAATGTCCTTCTAAAGGAAACAAAGGTAGCGTGCCTGAAGTGGGGATGAAGTTTACAAGCATTGAAGAAATTCGAGAACTCTATCTGGCTTATGCTCGAAGTGTAGGATTTCCAATGCGGACTATGACAACTCGCAAAGCCAAAGATGGAACTCCTAGAAATGTTACATTTGTGTGTAGTCGACAAGAAAATAAAAAGAGCAAAACACAAGATGTGTTCCACCCTTTTTGCTTTTTGCTTTTTGTGTAAAGTATGTAACAAGTATGATAACTTTCTCTGAGTTCCCTGCACATAAACTAATGTAAACCTGATGTAACTCTGTCTTCACATACATTAAGTCTCTGTGAAGTCTGTGACATAAACAGTTATTCCATGTGAGCACCAAGAAATCTAATGTATGCGTTTTAACTTTGTTTTTAGCTATACAAGACCCCTAGATATGTGATGAGATTCTGAAGATGGTGTATGTGCATAACGTTAAGTAACTCTGTCGTCACATACATTAAAGCTCTGTGTAATGGGTAAAATAGACAGTTAATCTCTGGGAGGGATCTGAAAGTGAATCTGTAATTCAATCATAAACTAAGGTAAATCATTCATCACACACAGTAACAGATTGTGCATTATCAAGTAGAAATTCATGATGATAAAAGCCCCATTACAAAAAAATCAAAAAAATCTGAAGTGCATAACATTATGTAACTCTGTCACATACGTTGAAGCTCTGTGTAACAGGTAAAATAGACGGTTATTCTCTGTGAGGGCTCTGAAAGTAAATTTGTAATTTAGTCATAAACTAAGGTAAATCATTCATAACACACAGTAACAGATTGTTCATTAACAAGTAGAAATTCATGATGCTAAAAGCCCCATTACAAAGCTTTCAAAAAAATCTAAAGTGTTTCCCCAAAAAATACATTACAAAACACAAAAACCATTACAAAGAGTTTCACAAAAATTAAAGATCCCTAAAATTTTAAATTAAATATTAGTTGTTTTCCTTCCACGCCATAACCTAGCTGCAAATTGACATCGGAAATCAGCCATGTGTTCAGAACTGCAGTCCGGACTTAATGGTAAGCCAAACAACAAAGACTCTAGAAATGCTAGCACCATCACTCCAGAATTGTCATACCTGCAAGGGAAAATAATATTAAAATAAGTAGGGATGTATGATTTTCACCACCATTGGAGTACCATAACGAAGTAATGGCGAACAAACCTAGAGTCCTGTTACGGAATATCATTGACAACAATTGTTTCCCATTCCTTCTCCAAAGTGTTTGCACCCACACCCTTAACCGTGCGAAGTAGGGGGTATTCTTCTTACTACTTGAACGTAAAATGAGAATTTCAGCCCTTTCAAGGAGTCATGAGATACAATTCACAGTAAGCAATCAAAAATAACAAGCAGACGTCTTCTTTCATAGACAATAATGTTATATGAAGTTCAAATAACAGAACTTAACCATATATGCCATACAATTCACACCATAAGCCAAAATAACAAGCAAACCTTTTTCACAAACAATAATCTTATATGAAGTTCAAATACTCTAAAAAACATGCTTCTTGATTAACCCACATCAACTTGATCACCTTGCACACCCAATTTCAAAGTCTTTTTCTTTGTATTGCTAAGCGATGAACGTGCTGGTAGAGTTAACTGCCCAGAATGTTAAAATTCAGCACTAAATGTAGTAAAGAATAACTTTTTTAGAGAATGCTGTGAACTTGGTTCCCCTGGTTGCTATCTTCTGCTAAGTTTTGAAGAAATCAANTATTACTTTTTAAACCATAATTAGGGCATATGGTCTTTGATACTTCGGAACTGTTCGAAAATCATTAATTACTACGGAGTATTTACTAAAGACGCTAAAATTCCAATGTAGAATAAGATTCGAGATCCGAACCCCCCTAGGGTTTATATCAATTTTAGAAACAGAGAGAGATAAAGAACGAGACCAAGGAAAGGAAAGTTAGCATCAGTACCTGTTCGGAGGGGTGGGGCTGCCGGCGCTGGAGTTAGAGGGGTGGGGCTGCCGGCGTTGGAGCTGGAGGGGTGGGGCTACCGGCACTGGAGCTGGAGGGGTGAGGTTGCCGGCGCTGCTATGCTCTCGACTAGGAGTTGTCCGAATTGGAGTTGTCTAGCGCTGCAATTCCGGCTATGCCGGCGAATTGGAGTTGCCGAAAAAAGAGAGATGAAAAGGGGGAATTTTGGGGAAGAAGGCAAGAGATGAAAAGACTAAGAAAAAAGGAAATTGAAAAAAAATTTAAA